TTTTCATGGGGGTTTTTTTGGGGGGGAAAAGCGGGAAAGTCGCAGAGGGAGGGGGATTTGTGGGTTCAAAATGTGGATTTGGGAAAATTTCGGCGCGGAATCTGGGATTTAGGGGAAGAAAAAGGAAAAAGAACCTCCCCCCCCCCCCCAAAAAAAATAAAAAAACAAACAAAAAAATGAGACCAAAAAATAGGAAAAACTTCATCACTCAGGTACTCTTTAACCTACAACTTCAGATATTAATCAAAAATATATTTAGTTTGCATGGGTTTTATATTCTTGTATCACTTGCACCTTCAATCTCCTGACTTGTTATCGTCTAGTTTCTCTTCACTGGTAAGCACAGGGGAACTTCGGCTCAGAAGTCTGATCAAGCTGAGTGTTGAAGAAGTCTGAATCTCTTTGCTATAGACCAGATTTCTGCTTTTTCAGAGCCTCCCCACATTGCAGTGATGCTACTTTGGCATAAAAATGAAATTTGTTCATTTGTTTCAGTTTTCTTCATTCCAGCATGGAAATGAAGCAAAAAGAGGGATCAGATGTACCAGCAGATTTTGCCACAGGGAAGGATTTTCTAGTGCTGATTCCATATTGATCCAGAATTTTAAGTTTCAAAAACCTCAATTAAACGTTTCCTTAAATTTCTTGCCAGTCCACTGTTGCTGCCTGACTGCTCATTTTCCACCCTTCTCGGCACAGGCAATGACACATTGGGTGATCTGAAGGAGGAATACTGTGAATTTTAACTACATACAGGCAGAGGGGGGAGTGACTTCTCTCATCTTAGGGTGGATATCATGCATGTGGAAGATTGTCTTGAGGTGCATACAGGAAAGAAGCAGCTGGAACACAGTAAACCCAGCCTAACAGCAAATATTACTTTAATTCCCATGTTAAAAGACTAAAGCCTGAATTTATTCCATCTAATTTTAAGACTCTAAGTGAGGTTCCTAAGAGGAATTTAGGCTGAGTCTAAACTATCAGACATAGTTGCACCAGCACCCCCCCAGGCTTCACCACTGTTCCCCTTGCTCCTGGATTTGGCTGGAAAGAAAACACGTGCATGCAAGCAGGAGGGAAACATGGTGACATCCACCCAGAGCACTAAACTGAATAAGTGAAAGATCAAGACCCTGGGACAACCCACAGTGTCCACCTACAGTTTGGACATAGCTTCACTTAACCTAGCCTTCCTTCATAGCCGAGAAAGAGAGAGGAGGACCTGGATTTGCCCTTTGCCTTTCAGAAGTGATTGTTCATGTTGATACAAGAACTGATGGAGCTTTCTTTCATCATAAAACAAAACTGAATAGCA